AACATCTTCGATAAGATAAGGGGTTAAGGGACTTGAGAGGACAGTGTAGAGTTGAACTAGTTCACTGAGGGGTCAAGATGGATAACGAGAAATCAAGTATCCGGTGCAGGGGTAATGGCATGGGAAAGAAACGAGGTGTAGAGGGACTGGAAGTTGTTGTAGTTAGACAAAGAATAGGTTTGGAGTTTGCTAGGTGGAGAGAAAGGTGGAATGACCACAGATTTTTTTATCAGATAAAGGAATTTCAGAGTTTTTGAACATGGAAGTAGTGCACTTGTGGATTATGACAAGTTCCAGGGTATGGCCTTCTCTGTGCATAGATGTGATAGCGTGGAGGAGCTGGTCAGGAGAAATGAGGAGGTTGTGGAACTGTGAGGTTAGGGTGCTTGAAGACGTATCACTGTGAATATTAAGTCCCCCTAGCATGAGGGCAGGAGTTGGGGAAGAGAGAAAGTCTATGAGAAAAAGACACTGAATTCAGAGGTCAGTAGACAATAGTCACCAGAATCTTGATTTGGTGATGAATATAGATTGAATGAATCTAAAAGAAGTTACTGAATAATCACAGTAGAGAGAAACTGGGAATGGCAAAGGGAAGAGAGGAGAGTTGGGGGTTTGAGTGAAAGTGCAGCCAGTGCTTGAAAGGATGGCCAGGGGAACTTCATTATTAAGAGGGAGCCAGTGGTCAGTGAATGCAAGATTATGGAAAGATCAAGAGAGGAATTGTTTTAAGGGGAAAACTCATTTGTTGTTATCTACAAAGAAGGCATTTCAAAGAGTACAACAGAGGTAAATGGGTACGGTTAGAGGAAGCCAGTAAGGGTGTTGGGTTGAGCGGGGATGGGAATAAGGAACATTAATGAGAGACCAGGAACGGGATTTAGAACAAAGGCAACCAGGACTCCTTGTCCTTGCTTGCAGGACATAGCCTAAAGCTATAGACAGTGCAAAATTATTTAGCATTTAAGTTTAAATAATTTGGTGTTTAAGTTTTCTATCACTCCATTATTTTCCTTATATAGAAAGATATTTTTATTGGGGCACTTGGGAGATAATTCCAGGACAAAGGATTTGTCAAGGATGCATGTTTTCTCTGTGTTTGTTTGTGTATCTGTGTTTTAAGTTCTGAAACTACCAAAACACTTGTAGGAAGAATCAAAACAACTTGACATTTTTCCAAAAAAAAATTATAGTTTTACTATGGAATGTGGTAATGGAAAGGAAACAGAAGTTTTGAAATGTTTTCCTCTATACAAGCAACAGTTTATATCTGTATGATGTTATAACCACAAGAAAAAAAAAAAACCCACGACATAAAAGCAACCCTGTGACATTGCAGCCAGGCAGACAAAAGAGACCAGGCTTCTTTTCCACACAAAAATAGTTTAATTTTGGAAAAATCTAGCAATAATCTTGAACGATGACTCTGGTTTTTTCAGGCACTAGTAATGAAAAGTTCTCTATCTTCTTAATAGATACTATTTGTACACAGACTTTTATTCATAAAAACCCTCAAGAGGACCATTTTCATCAGGTACTGAATATATTTTAATTTGGGCAGCAGCCACTAATAAGGTCTTCTCTTGGAATGAATTTGTAACACACGTTTGTCTAATGGTGATGATACTGGCAACCCCTGTGAGTTCAAGGTATGAGATTTTAAAAACACTTTAGTAAGGTCTATAGAAATATTAGGTTGACTTTAAAAATTTGCTCTCTTTACAATTCCTTCTTCATTCTATTCCCTAGGGCATTGGGGACTTCAGACTATTGTTAGTGTCCATTGTCGCAGGAAGATTTTCTGAAAGATCCAGGAAATTCCCTTTCCTCTAAACTTTGAATTCATCAGGCTCTTATCTAACTTCTGTGTTCAATTTTAGTCAGCCCAGTATAGAGGACGGAAAGCCAACTTCAAAGACAGCATGGCCTGGTTCAGATCCCACCTCTGACACAGGCTGGCTGAGTTATCCTTAGCAAATCACATGACCTCTCTAAGTTGAAAAGAAGGTCTCTAAGTTGCATTAGCAGAAGGAATTTCCTCACCAGGGAGTTCCCTATGTAAATAAAACCATAAATCCAGTCCCTATCCTTGACCTTATAGAGGGAATGTGTATAAGCAAAAACAATTTCAGAAAAAAAAGCAACAAAACTCATGAAATGATTGTGGAACTACTACTGGTCTGCACTGGTAGAGGAAATTTCCTTATTGAGAATTCCTTATACCATGAAAATTATTACAGGTCCAGGGAGGGAGGAAGGAAGGAAGGAAGGAAGGGAGGGAGGAAGGAAGGAAGGAAGGAAGGAAGGGAGGGAGGGAGGGAGGGAGGAAGGAAGGAAGGAAGGAAATAGATATCCCCTCAGTTTCCAACTCTTTACCATTACAAAAAAAGAGCCAAGAGGCCAAGTTTAAGGAAGAAAATGAATTCTATTTTGGCCATTTTCACCTCTCTGTCTGTTTCTGTAATAACAGTTCATTAAAGAGAGATAGAAACAGAAAAAGAAAAGGAAAGAAGAAAGGAAAGGTAAAGAGGAGGGAGAAAGGGAGGAAGAATACAAAAGCAAGGAAGGAAACAAGGAGGGGAGAAAGGAAAGAAGGAGGAAGGAGGAGAAAGGAAGGAAGGCAAGAAGAAAGGAAAGTAGGAAGGAAGGAAAGAAGGAAGGAAGGAAAGAAGGAAAAAAGGAAGAAAAGAAGGGAGGAAGGAAAGAAAGGTCATGAGAGAAATGAAACAACTTTTTCTTTAAATTTGTAAATGTTTTTCCTTGCTAAAAAAAAAAAGCGTAATACCTTTTGAAGTTTTGTTTTTTTTTTTTTTAAATCCTGGTCATTTCTGGATATAACTTTCTCCTTTACTTTAGCAAGCAAAGTGACCCTTTTGTGGTGACAGCAATATCCAAGATCCTACTACCCCAAGCAAGTTAGGCTAGTTTTTCTTTAAAGAAGTTCTTTAAAGTATTAAAACTGACCTCAGGAGCTGGAGTTCTTCCCTTAGGTTTCTGCCTCCAGACCAGAAGTATTTCCAACAGTGGCACAGGGAAACTGTACTCAAATGGACGAAGTATATCCTCAGGGAACGTCCCCCAGGCTCTACTCTTTCCCATTATGGCTATAAACACTTCCGTTGTTCAATTTAGATGGACTATGAATGTTTCCTTTTGTTCCAGTTTGAATGCAAACTAACCTGGTCAGTGCTAAACCTGGCCCACAATATGTCCTCATTAAGCAAAACAAAACAAAATAAAAAAACAAGCAAATAAAAACACTCAAAAATCATTTAACTAAAACACATGGAATGTGTTTGATAGAACATTAAACTTTTCATTGTTGCTGAGTCATTTTTCTGTCACGTCTCACTCTTCAATACCCCATTTGGGGTTTTCTTGGCAAAGATACTGGAGTGGTTTGTCATTTTCTTCTCCAGCTTATTTTACAGATGAGGAAACTGAGGCAAACAGGGTTAAGGGACTTGCCTGGGTTCACGCAGCTAGTAAGCATCTGAGGTCAGATTTGAACTCAGGAAGATGAGTCTTCCTGACTCCAGACCTGGCATTCTATCCACTTTGCCACGTAGCTGCCCCAAACTTTCTATAGTCTCCCAACTACAGCACTGAACAAAATGCCTAGGACAAAGTAGGTGCTTAATAAATACTTATTGACTAACCAGACACTCCCGTGGTGGTAAGAAGGTATATTTACTCGTCTCTTCTCCAAGGCCAAGAAAAGTCATAATACTTGCATGGCATTCAGCGTCATTTTATTCTTCATTTGCATTGTTGGATTCATTATATATCATTTTACTGATTCTTCTTAATTTGTATCAGCTGATGTAAATCACTCCATGTTTCTTTGAATTCTTTACATTTATCATTTCTTATACCATAATAATATTCCATTTCACTTACGTACCAAAATTTGTTTAGCCATTCCCCAATCGATGGAAGCTCACTTGATTTTCCAGTTCATGCTACCCCTAAAAAAGCATTGATGTGAATATATTCATATATATTCTGAATTTCATTTCCTTAGGGTAAAGGGTCAGCATTGTGTTCTTTGGGTCAAAGCATGTTTAGTGATTTGCCTTTCATAATTCCAAGTTGTTTTCCAAAATGGTTAGACCAATTCGCAGTTCCACTAACAACACATGCATTTGTCTACTGCAATCCCTCCACATATCACTACTGGCATTTTAGCAATCTCATGTGGCAGTTCTTGTGAAGAGGTTTACCTACAATTCCCAGAAAAACCTTAAAATTTTTAGATTCCTTGTAGACTCACTTATCTCTCTTTGACATCTTTCCTCCCCAGCCCCTAAAAAGAACCTGGCTTCAGTTTTGTTTACCGGTCCCAAGAAACCCTTAAAGTTTTAGAAACTGCCTTATTTCCCTTTAAAAGCCCTTTGAAAGCAAACTTCCCTTTCCAGCTCCCTTCATTATCTATTCTCATTGTCTGTTCAAATCACTCAGACATTCCAAACGGAAATTCTCACCTGGACCCTTTTCCAAATGGCTCACCTTCCCCCTTCAACTGGGCTTTCCCATTGTTTTGCCTTCCTGGCCATTCTCACCCTTAATCCTACCTAGGCGCCACAAGGTCTGGGACCCAGGAGTTCTGTTCCCCCGAGCTTGCTGGCCACCCCCATCCAGATCTCCTTAGACCCCTCCTCCCATCACTCCAAGCTGCTTGGCCACTCCTAGACCCCTCCCCAATCTTTCTGTACTTAAAGACTCATCTTTCCCCCACTTCAGACGCTGGGAATTTCTCATGCCCCTAGAGGATGAGACCCCATGCCCGCCTGTAACGCGGGTCACACGTGGCCTATCCAACCCAGCCCTCACTCAGACGCTGAGCTTTCTAGGCTGCCTCGCAGCTCGTCCTTACTAGCGACACCTGACCACCTTAAACCCCATTTAGATCACTGATGTTTGGGTTCCTTTGGAGTCTGGCCTATATGCTTATCTTTAATAAACTTTTTCTCCGGCTGGAAGATCTGAGTTGAATTCATTCAGGCAGATCTGCACCACGATCTGGGCTTTTCCCACGATTTTGGGGTGCCTCCGTGCATCTAGGAGCACCCCAAAACCCCCACCCTCTTCACTTGCAGTAAATACCCAAGGATCTAATTCACCTGAATTCCTCAAAGGCAGGTACATGCTCCCTACTATTTCTTTACTTATCCCAATATCAATTCACCATTAACCATTTTTGTTTTGTCCTTTCTGGTCCCAAAGTCGTTGCACTTTGCAGAAAAAACAGAAGCAAAGTCAGAAATAAGCAGTTCTCTGCCTTCTTTCTGTTGTTCTCTTTTATCAGCCCATCCACTCTAATCCTCTCTTTTTGATCCTTCTTTTTCCCAGAATATAGCTTTAGCAGGGGAGGGGATGGAAGAACACTTCTTTTTTTATCCTTGGATTTCCTCTATAGTCTCACCTCAGTCTCAATGTTCACATTACAGATGTGACTCTTTCCACACCATGTTTTTGTACCACTACCTTCTCCTGCTTTATTCTTCTGCACACAGGAGCAAGGGTGGTAGAGATTATGGAGCCAGATCCTGGAAATAGGAGACCACAGCACTGACCCTCTAAACCGGGAGAAGCGATTTTGGAAACAGAACCAAGGAGCAGAAATGAGCTATGTGGCACTATCACCCTGACCCCAGAAGCAGGAAACCAGGTAAGACAGGCCAGGACCATACAAGATCACTTGGAGTTCAACCAAATGTTCAGAGTCTCGCCCTAACGCAAAATCACAATCTTCCAGTTAGACTGGAAGAATGAATAAACAAAAACACTTTCTATTATAATGCCGGGCATTCCCAAAACACAAACTCAGAAGACAATAACTCCAAAACACAAACAAGCAAAGTCTCAAAGAAAATCACAGCTTAGTCATAACAAAAGTTAGAATCCCCAAAATAGTTTTTTTAATAGTTTAAATGCTACTCTATATTAAATGATAGTGCCAAAAGAAAGAATTAGAAAATAAATAAGAGCTATGGAGGAGAAACTTGAAAAGAAAATTAACCGCTTAGTCCTTCATTGTCACTAAGTCAATAAGTGTTTATTAAGCTCTTACTAATGTGGTATGTAGGGGCAGCTTGATGGCTTAGTGGATAGAATGCTAGGCCTGGAGTCAGGAAGACCTGAATTCAAATCAGGTCTCACTTACTAGCTGCGTAACCCTGGGCAAGTCACTTCACCTCTGTTTGCCTTAATCCACTGGAGAAGGAAATGGCAAACTACTCCATTATCTTTGCCAAGAAAACCCCATGGCAATATGGTCCACCAGGTACATAGAGCAAGTACTGAACAACAATTTACTTTTAATTAAGTTAAAAGGCGCTTAATCATTGGAAGGAAAGTTGTGGCAAATCTGTACAGCATGCTAAAAAGCGGAGATACCACCTTGCCAATAAAGGTCCATATAATCAAAACTATGATTTTTCTACCAGCAACATATGGCTGTGAGAGTCGAACTATAAGGAAAGCTGAGTGCCTCAGAATCAACGCTTTTGATTTGTAGTGTTGGAGAAGACTTTTGAGAGTTCCTTGGACAGCAAGGAGATCAAATCAGTCAATACTTAAAGAAATTGAGGCCTTCGCTAGTTGTCTTGACTTCTGTCTTGCCATTGGACCCTGATGACTCTGGAGGAGAGAGTGAGGCTGATTACTTTGTACAGCTCTGCCTCACTTAAATCCAATTCACTTGCAAGATAAGACATCGCCTTACTGATGTCTTTGGTCCTCTTCAGGAACAAAAAACAAACTTAAAGAAGTTAATTCAGGCTATTCACTTGGAGGTCAAATATTGAAGCCGAAGTTTAAATAATTTGGCCACGTGAGAAGATTGTACTTATTGGAAGACGCTGATGCTGGGAAAGATTGAAGCCAGAAGGAAAAGGGGATGGCAGAGGATGAGATGGAGAGATAGTGTCATGGAAACAATGAACAAGATCTTGGGCAGACTTCAAGAGATAATGGAGGATAGAAGGGCCTGCCTGGCTTGCTATGGTCCATGGGATTATGAGGAGTCAGACATCACTGAACAACTAAACAACAATGAGCTATGCATTGTGCTAAGGTCTGGAAATATGAATGTAACAGTGACTACCCCGTCCCCCATTTGCCTGATTGCCAGTTTTGTTACCCCTGAGGTTCTCTAGTATTATACAGAGTGAAAAAATGGAAGGAGTGAAAAGGGAGATTTGAAATTCCCTGGGAGTCCACCAAGGCGAGAAACCAAACTACCCCACCCTCACCATTGTCTAGGTCTTTCTAACCCCTTTGTGGATAATGGGGATTATGAGGAGGGAGGGGATATAACTAAGAACTGGGAGGAATTCAGTGGAGCAAGGCACAGTCTAGGATGTGATTAGTAAGTGATCAATTTCATCCAATCAGGATGTGAAAGAAATAAGATGGATACAGATATTTTTTTTGGGGGGGGTACCTAAATTTAAAAGAAAGCAAGCGATGTTTAAAGGAGTTAAGAGAGAAGAGGAAATGAATAGAAAGTTAAAGAAAGTTGTATAGCCTGAGTAAAGGATTTTGGAGATTTGGAAAGAGAGAAGTGAGGAAGGGTTTTGATCTCATTCAGATGAGGATATGGGAAACTATGTGGTTATTCTTTGTGATATGCGGCTTGAAATTCCTGGGCTCCTATGCTGGGATATAGGAATGGGAAGTTGCTGCTTATCCTTATCTGGAAAGCCTCTGGAGAGGTAAATGAGGCTGGGAACTAAGACTTGATCCAGCTCTTTGAGGAAACGGGGAAAAGGTTATAGGAAGCTGGGAATGCTGCTACCATGTGTCCCTTTTTTTTTTTAAATGAGTTTATTGATAATAATGGGCTCTCTTTTTTTGAAGTGCTAATGGTAAATGGCCCATAGATAAATTGATTTAAATGTTAAGTATTAATGATTATAAATCCGTATTTGATATGGTTGAAATCTGTCCTGAAGTAAAATCAAAATGCAGTCTAAGTATGCTCCCCTATTAGGATAATTGCGGTAAAGCAGAACTCAATGCAGAAATACATTTGGCAATCTGGCATTAAAGCATGAAACTACTGGGAAATGCATGGATCAGAAAAACCTGAGTTAAAATCCAATCTGAGAAATTTATTAGCTGTGTGATTTCGCCTCTGTTTAAAGGTGGGTTGCTGTGAGGAACCCAGGATTGTAAAGTGCTTATCACAGTGTCTGGCATATGGCAAGTCTATATAAATGTTAACTGTTATTATTACTATTTTAATTAGATGTAATTGCTACATAGTTGATGACATTGTGCATGGTTTTCGATGTGATCAGTATACAATGCCAATGGTGATAAGATGAAAGATTTTCTGTGTGAGGTAATTTGGAAATACATTCAACTGAATTGAGATCACCTGACCGGTAATGGGTTTTGTTTTACATTTCAAATCCACAATATTGTTTATGATACTGTGAAATTGGGTAAACTATTATATCAGATATGCTGTTAGAAAAACAACTTCTTTTGTAATCTGAATGTTGTTAGATTATGAACTGAACTGTTAAAAGACAGTGGAAAAAACATCTGAAAATTATTATTTTATCAGCCCTGCTGACCACTTGTAATATTCTGAAGTACTGTAATTTGAGAAACCGTAAATTTCCAGATTTGCCTGCAGTTAACAGGAAATTTCACCTACAAATATTTGGCTATCGTTTATGAGAATTATGAAATTGTTAATTAAGTTATTTGGGGTTATTGTCATAATGTTTAAACCTATCAAGTATTTGCATAGGTATATTTTAAAAGGGAAAATTGATGATTGATTACTGTTCAGGAAAAGGTACATAGAAAAGACCTTGTAAAATCTCCTTATTTGTAAACTTACAAGGTTTCTTGGGACCATCTGGTCATAAACTCTAATCAATCTTATCTTACCATCTGGTCATAAACTGTACAAAAGTGTGCTGTGTTGTGGAATTCCTTCTGGATAAATGGGATACGAACACTCCTTGCACAAAATGGTGGTGTAATTTTCAAGCCTGCTTAAAACGCAAAGTGAGTTTCATCTAAGATTTATTTACCTTTCACTTATAGAGGTTATGAAGCTATACCTGGAATAGTATATATTGAAGTTATATCTTGAAACCAACTTAGTCTTAACAAATTCTAGTTCTTAAAGATTTGTTTTTGCTTTAAATGGTGAATATGCAGTACCTTAAAAGATGGATATGTTGGTCTGAAGATTTACAGCAATTGGCCAGGGTTTTTTTTCTAGGGTTTTAAGTAAACTATTATATATTCATGACCTATGTGGGATTCCAGAACATACTTATAGTTTTTATTTCTAATGGTAGATGTTTATACTAAGATGAGTTTAGACTCTAGGAGAAGACAAAGAAAAGGAAGAAAAGGATATTGAGTAACTTTTTAAAGGCCTGGTAAACTTCTATTGTTGCAACACCATGAGAGAAATCAAAAATTAGCCCTAAGCTGTGTTTAGTGAAACTTGCTATTTGAGGTAAAAATTTCATGGGACTGTAATCTGATATTACTCTGAGTTTTGATTTCAGGTATGATTGTCTGCATTGTCATGAGGTCAATAGTCCACTATTCAAGGGGAATGCCATGTGCTTCCTAAAGGGAGCACAGTCTGGCAACTATTACACGACATCTGTTTTGTTGTCCAATTGTTTCCATATATATATGATTTCGCATCAAATGGGGGAATTATTGAATATGAGGTTGACTCAATGACCCATCGTTCCCAGACCTGCTCGTCCATCAGCATTGGTAGGAGGAATCACCCGGTCCCTTAATATGTGTCACGTAGTCGAGTCACCTTGTAGTCAAGTCACCTATCTGTACCTGGAAATTGTCACGTACTTGCCACCTTGGGAACGAACTGAAATTCAAGGGCCAATCCTCTTTTGTTGACGTGGACCTATCAGAATTGTCTTTCTCTCCCCACCTTGAAGCCATCTCTGCTCTCCAGACAGCAAAAGCACTGAAGAATTTCTTTTCCTCTCTCCAGCCTTCTATCTCAACTTCAGTACCAACCTTCCATTCTTCTTCCTCAACATTAACATTTTGCGTCTATGTATAACAAGTCAGAAAAGGAGCTAAATTTCAAAAATTTTCAGCTGGGAAAAGAGTTAACATTTTTTCTTTCTCTGTATTTAATTACATATTAACAAAACTACTATCAGCTTCCTTTTTCCTCTAAGTAGACTGTGAATCAAAGAAGCTCTTTGGAGAATTTTTTCAATGTTTAGCAGTAAAGCCGTGCTGAGGATGCCAGTAAGTTCAGAACTATCTTGAGCTGAATTATACACACACAAGATCACGTAGGATTTACCTGCCAAAAGATACATTAGCCACTCTTCAGGTAAGGAAAATGAGGCCCACAAAGGTTAAGTGATTTGCCCATGGTCACACAAATAAAAAGTTGATGAGGGGTAGCAACCAAAAGCTCAGATCAGGAAAATACTAAAAAGACACAGACCATGTTCGTTGGAATATTGGTACTTTTCATACATTTTATTTTATTGTTAGTCAGCTGTGTTTGTAAACCAAT